CTCTCTCTCTCTTGTTTTCTGAATTATTTTACCACTTTGAATAACATTATTCATAATATTTTTTAATTTACTTTTCTCATTAACAATATACTTTGGACATCTTTCCACGATAAAAATACACACATTTTCAATGACTACATTGTATTTCCCTGCATGGTAAAACATACCTTATTTAGCCAATTCCCAACTGATAGTAAGTACTTAGTTACACTATATTTTTTTTCTTTTTGGTATGAGATTCAATGTTGTGTGAGTATATAATGTTGCTATTATATACAATGTTTTGCTATTTTACCTAAAGTTGTCTATTTTTCTGCTATTAGACACGATAGATATTGTGATGAACAACAGTCTATATTTATGTCTTTGAGTATTTGTCTAAATTATGTCCTTAGGATACATTTTTAGAATTGCAATATTTTAGCTAAAAAGCATGCTCAGTTTTAAGTGCTTTTGTGTCCTATTTCTACCCAAGAAGCACAAAAGAAGGTGCATTATCCTTGCTTTTAACTCTTAAATAACCTTGCAGGCTGGTGGGTTTTTAGGCAAAAATGCTAAAAAATCTTGAACAAAATTGTCTGATAATTATTGCACACAGCTCTTCCCTTATTCTACTTTCTGTACCGGGGGATTAAAGATGAAAAACTAAAGTACTTGCAGCCTCCTTTTCTCTGTCCAGAGAATAGCCCTCCAGGGTTGTGGAGTCTGAGTTATTGAACTGTATCCATCAATGCCTCTGTTTACTTAATGTGTGGGGGTTTTATCAGTTTTAGGAACATCATATGCTCATGTACCTGTTTTGCAGGAGCCAGGTAACTTGTTTTTTTATTGAGAAGATTGTTTCTTCCTTTGTTTTAAGCTAAAGAAATGTCAACGATCGGGAGTTTCGAAGGATTCCAGCCCGTGTCTCTGAAGCAAGAGGGCGATGACCAACCCTCAGAGAATGATCGACTGTCCATGGAAGAGGGAGACCCAGGCAAGGACCCAGCACCAAGACGGATTTCAAGGCAGCCAAGTGTAACCAAATCAACACTCTACCCCAATCCTTATCACAAGACCTATGTCTCACGGAAGTACTTCGTTACACGGGTAATATCATTGGTGCTCTTAAGTGCTACATAGACTTAAAAAATCCTAATGTCTTTCTGTATACCACATATTTTACCAAGTGTTTTCTCATCTGTTACCTCTTGTAGTAGTCCCAATAACTGAGAAGGAGGTATCTTTATCCCCATTTTACAAGTGAAGGATCTGAATTTCAGAGAAATGAAGAAAGTGTATTTTTGATCACCAGATAGGACTGAAGAGACGCAGATCCTCCAGTCTCCAGGGGCCTTTGCCTCCTCAGTTCTGTTTATGTTAAACCTGACCTCAGTGAATTAATGTCCTATAGAGAGAGAACCAGAGCAGCTAGAAGATAAAGCTGTGAGCCCAAAGTGGATATTTGTTATGTGTTGTAAACATGGGTGGTGAACTGGAAAGGCTTGCTGAGAACGTGATGAACCTCAAGGGTCTACATGGGGATGCTGGCATTACAGTGTGGGAGCAGGAACTTTTACATCTCAAACCTGTAGCTGCAGGCTGGAGCTGAGCTCTCTTTCCTATGCATTGGAGCTGGGAAAGTAAATGGATGTATGGGCTACAAGGATGGGGTTTGTATATCTGGATGGAAAAAAAATGAGAGTTTGAACTTACAGCATTTGAATTAGTAGAGACAATTTTGTTGGTTTCTAGTACCTACCTCTATCTGGAACCCTCCTTCCTACTTAGAGATCTTCTTTTCCAATCTGTCAACATTCTTGTTAGCTCATAGGCTACAACAGCTGGGGTCAAAATTAGAGACTGTGCACTGTGACAAAAGAGACCATCTCATTTTTAATGTGTGCATGGGGCCTCTCATCAGCTTCGATAACCTATTCCCCTTATTATAGTTCATCTGTTATTATTGCTTAGGCATATCTAAAAAAGGCCTCGTGCTTTCTCTGAACAAAAGTACCCCTCAAGGCTAATAACTCGAAGTATATTATGATAATCACTTGATTGTGGTGATGTGTTCAAAGGCAACTTCTTATGAAAGAAACAATACTTGATCCACATGGGGAAAGATATTTTTAAACTCCCTGTAGGACTCTGTATTTGCAGATACCTTATCAGAAAGTTGAAAGCGATTAGAGATGGGGAATTATCTCTAAATTTATACTTGAGAATGTAAATTACATATAAAACTACTGGGACTAAAACTATTTGATCTTTTAATATTTAATTAATGGTTCCCCATGGCCTTTTTATAGCTTGTGTTCTATTGTGAGCAACGAGACTTTAATAAGCAGGTTTGGGACTTCCCGTTGTGTAGCAAGATGCCGTTGCTTTCATGACACTAATTTGGCTTTCATACTCTTTCCCTTTCCTTCTCCTCTTACTGTAGGGTTCCCTGTGTCTTGCTTTTTCATTGGGAGCAGCTAAATATATTAGTTATATTGTTATTTTCTGTGTGAGCTTCTTTCTGGTCTAGAAATTATATATCTCACTGGGCAAAAGGTTTCTCGACTCCCCTCCTTACACTAAAATCCCTTGAAGATTATAATAAAGATGATGATTCTTTCTAAGGGCAGACACTTCACAATAATAAATTAAGATGCATTTCCTTCATTTTCAGGGAAAGACACATTTTCTTGGACTTTACAAATCATATACAATTTACAGCTGGTTTTCTTACTTTATGTGTTTACCACATAGCTGTCCTATCTGGGCACGATGACATGAAGACAGCCACAGGACAGATCTTGTATCAGTCCCTAGGAGCATTCCTTTCTGCTCCCTTCCCTCACTATCTAGCCGAGGAGTCCAGTACATGGGGAAAATTAGCAGCAGACATGAGTGTCGTTTGTGTGACAACTGGCCCCAGGCTAGTCTCATTCAAAGAAAAGCAAGGAAGCAAAGATGTATGTTTTTGAAATTCTCTCAGGAGCTTTGTTTTGACTGAAGATATTCAGTGCTAGACTATAAGAGAGGATACTGTCCATAATGCTGTAGAGTCACTTAAAGATAAGGCTCCCTTCCAATGACTTGTTTCTTAAAATTTAGAATTAGAACTGTATGTGTATTGCCTTGATAAGTTTTCTTTCATCAGCTGATGAGTGCATAATTATTTTGTCATTATTTTCTGTTAAGTTATAAGGAGCCTCAGAGCTAGTTGTTTCCATTGCAGTAACCACTTGACCGGCAAATCCTGACATAACTGTTTGCCTTCTATTTATATTATCAATAAGAATTATAATAAAGTCTTTTATTCAGTGTTACCAAATTACCATATGTTTTTGGCATCTCCCAACAGCTCTGTTATAACTAATATTGTCCACCTAACAAATGAATAAATCGATCTATAGAATGAAAAAAATGACTCAACACTGGTCTCCCAGCAAACAGAAAGCCTGAGATTTATACCTTGTGCTCCTCACGAGTCAGCGTTCATACATTTCTATTTCATTTCCAACACTAAGTGGCTGAAGTTAATTTATTATAGTACAATAATAACAAATGGAGGAGAGTAAAACACTTTATTGGAGTAAGTGTATAACTGCTCCACAAGGGCATGGCCAGTGTTTCTACTGACGGAGGAACAGCACAGGCAGGGGGGACACTGACAGGACCCCAGTGACTTCCACACCACTTGGTAACGAACATGCTTTATTGTTACTGTTTAACTTTTGAAAAAGTGTACACTGAGTCATAACCTCTACCCACTGCCCCCACCCATCGGTTCCTTCCCCATCCTTAGGGAACCACTGCTAACATTTCCATATATCCTTTGAGAGTTACTTTAGGCATATACAAGCAACCATAAATATTTATTCTTATATGCCTTCTTCTTTTTACATGAAAGGTAGCATATTTACCCTCTCTTCTGAACATGTTTTTCTCTCACTTAATAATATATTTTGAAATCTTTCCATGTTAATACAAGTTTCCTCATTTTTAAATGTATTCAACATATTTCATTGTGTAGATTTGTCCCATGATATGTGTAACTAGTCTCCTATTGATAGATATTTGTGTTGCTTCCAAATTTTTGTTACCCACAAACAAGACAGCAAAGAACACTTTATACATGTCATTTTTCATATATGCAAGGCTATCTATAGTATAACTTCACAGAGGTGGAATGTGTAAATCAGAGAATAAATTATTTTGATAGATTTTGCCAGTTGCTTTCCATAAGAAGACAAGTTAAGGTTTTGAAAAATTTCACATTATTCTATTCATTTTCAAATATTTTTGGCAAAGTGCCTGGCATAAAAGCATTCAACAAAATACTTATTTTAGGGTTATTTCATTCTCTAATTCCACTTGTGTGTTTTTTCTCCTAAAAAATATTAGTTACACCACCAAATTATATTAGCTGCAGTAGAAATTGTGTGAATATAGGGAGACAGGAAAAATAGCCATGACGAGTCATCATAGAAAGTATTGTGCTTTAGAGCGTTTGAGCAGTGGGCCTGCTAGAGTCAGGGTGCATCACAGGGAGCTGAGGTTGTGTGACGGGAAAATTTTCATGAGATCATAGGAAATTTCCCTCCATGGTATTCCAGTCTTTCCAGTAGGGTCACTGGGAACCAGTGATGTTGGCACAACCTCCTCTGTCAGTGGGAGCTCAAAGAATATTTGATTACTGTCCCAGAACTTAACTGATTTCGTGACGCACAGGTTACAGTAGGCATGGGGTGCCAGATCAGCTTCCTGACTATGCTTTAACTAGCGGCAGGGAATGGCGAAAGAGTCAGAAATCATTCAATTTACTGCCTGACCGTCCAATTCAACAGGAAACTTCTTAAAGTGACAGAATCAGAATCTCTCTGATTCTGAGAGATTTGGGGCTGTGATCATATATTCTTAAAGATAACAAGGAGGTTTTGATCATCACGTTGGCTCAGGAAGCTTTGTTTGGTCTACTACTTAGATGAGGAAACAGAGGCCAAGGAAAGTCAGATACTTGTTTCTAAGTCACTGAATTTATTTATGACAGATCTGGAATACGAAGCCAGGTCACTCTACTCTGTTTAGGAGTTGACCTGCCCCTTTCCCGGCTAACTTGAGCTGTGTGCAGTAAATTGGAGGAAGGGGAGAGCCAAGTACATAAAGCTCTATACCTTTACCCCCACTTGTTTGAAGCAGCTCCATTCTGTTCCTGTTTTTCATGTATGAAATCTTATATAATTTTTTTTCTTCATCAGTGGACTCTGTGGTCAAAATGTTTGAAAACCTTTTATCATAGACTGAGAAGATAAGCAAACCAAAATCCTCCCACCACCCCACCTCTAGAGAAAAAAGTATTTGAATGGGTCCTAGCCAGGCCAGTGTTCCTGTCTTCTTTTGTGAGAAAAGGGTCTCAGACTGGGAGTATTAGGAATGTTAATATATAGAGAAAATAAGGTGGTTAGTATTAAAGCCCTATTATATAGAGAATATATGAAAATTTGCAAGCTGCTTGTCAGTAGCCCAGACTTGGGAATGAGGCCAGCACTGCATTGTAGGCCCAGAAATGGAAGGCCTGGGTTTCTTGTATCTGCAATTTCCTAGCTGAGTGAACTTGACAAGTTACTTCCCTGCACTTGTCCCTTTTTCTACTCCTATAAAATGAAATGGCTTAGACTAAATAAGCCCTAGGATGTGGTTGTGCTCAACCTTGGCTATACTTGGGAGTCATTTGAGATGCTTTAAAAAATACTGATGTACTGATATGTGAGTCCCATCCACTGAGTGTCTGACATAATTGGTGGCCTGCTGAACAGCAGGTGCATTAGGATTTTTGAAAAGCTTTCCTGTTTTTTCTGATGTGCAGACAAGGTTGACAATAACTGTCTAGAGATCAATGGCTCTCATAGTAGAATCCCACACCAACAGCATCATCTGGGAACTTGACAGAAATGCCAGTTCTCAAACCCTCTTCAGACCTACTGAATTAGAAGCTCTAGGGACAGTGGCCAAGCATCTGTGTTTTAAAACACAACTTCACGTAATTCTGATGTGCATTGCAGTTTAAAAGTATCACTGAGCCCGGCTGGCGTGGCTCAGCTGTTGAACATCGACCTATGATCCAGCACCTATGATTCCCAGTCAGGGCACATGTCCAGGTTGTGGGCTCAATCCCCAGTGGGGGGCATGCAGGAGGCAGCCAATCAATGACTCTCATCATTGATGTTTCTATCTCTCTCTCCCTCTCACTTCCTCTCTCTGAAATCAATAAATATATTTAATTTAAAAAAAAATCACTGAGCTGGAAGGTCTGCAAATTCCTGATTGGCACAAGGATTAATCAATTTCCAAGCTTGAGGTTGGCCCATAAGTAGGGGCACCTGCTTGGAGAGGGTGAAGGAAGTGAGGTAAGGAGACAAAAAAAGCTTATTTCCTAGAGACAGCTAAAATTATGGTCAGAATTTTGGAAGAAGTTTTCTCTTTTGTGTTGTTTTTTTGTTTTGTTTTGTTTTTTTGCCATGGGCTCTTTGAAGAGAGAAAGGTTTGATTTTAAAAATATATTGATTGCTAAATGCTTTGAACTTCCTGATAAACATGTTCGTTCAGAAAAACTGGTCCTCTGAAAATCTGTCTTCATTTTTTTGAGAATATGAGTAAGATTATGAAAGACAGGAATTGAATCATGTTGTCCCACCCAAGGAGGGCAGTGTGGTAAATACCAGAGTTCAAGGCCAGGCTCTCCAGCAGTTAGTGCCTAGAACAAATAGGCAAATGTGAGGACTATCTTTCCTGCTCAGCTTTTTGGAGAAGCTGTAGAAATATAATACTAATCACAAGCACAAAGAGGACTCAGTCTTCTCTAAACTAGGCATTTTCTTTTTCTCACTCAGCCGGGGGCCATTGAGACCGCCATGGAAGACTTGAAAAGTCAAATAGAGAAGACTTCTGGAGAGAAAATCCAAGGCTTCTGGCTCTTAACAGAGTGAGTAGTTATGGTTCAGGGAGGGGAAGTGGAAATCGAGCCTTTTCCTGGACTCTGCTATAGCAGAATAGGAGCTGACCTGTGGAAGAATTTCCTCTAGTCATCGTGTAAAAAATTGACACATCCGGTTAGAAAATAAAGTTTCATAGCACCCCATGGATGATGGTATGACCAGGTTTGACTCCAATGGCTGCTTCCCAGGCTAGTCACTTCACTCAACCATCACTATGACTACCTTAGATCAGGCGCTAGTTATTGACCTCAAGGACTAATGCATTAGCCTCCTATCTGAACTCTCTGGTCCGTTTCTGGCTCTTACAAGCACTCTCACTTCAACCACATGAGGCTACTAACCATCCCGCCCTGGGATGAATGGGAAGGAAGATTAACAAGAGGATGAATGAGGTCAACATATACAGTTTGAATTGTATCTTGTGTACAGTACTGTGAGCAACAAAACAAGGAAAATCATGCAATTAGGATAAAAAAACAAGGTTAAAACCTAAGTCCCTATCACTTTAATAACTGTTCCATTTGCTCCAAAATCTTATATTATCTATACAAGCTTTCATTGTGAGTGAGACCATGAATGTGGCTACCTCTCTGTCCTGCTCTGAAACTCTGAGTGACCTTTTCTTCACCCACTATGAAAATATGAGGAATACCATCGTCTTTACAATATATGTAAAATATTCATAAAGGAAATGAAAGAGGCACCTCTTTTCTGCTACCGAATCCATAACATTAAACAGGGAATGAAGTCAGAATTCCATGTCAGATGCTTAATCGCCTCAGTGAGTTTTCTGACTTGGTAACAAGATCACCAGAGGTTCAGCAGAACAGCTCAGTAATTCCTGTACCTTGAGTGAAGAGAGTCTGATCCAGTGGCATGCCGAAGCTGGTTCACATGGGCTCATAAGAAGTGAATGGGCCCTGGTTGGTGTGGATCAGTTGGTTGGGTGCCATCCCATGCACTGAAAGGTTGCCAGTTTTCTTCCCAGTCAGGGCACATACCTGGGTTGCAGACTCGATCCCCAGTAGGGGCGTGCAGGAGGCAGCTGATCAATGACCCTCTCACATCAATGTTTCTCTCTCTCCTTCTCCTTTTCCCTCTGTCTAAAAAAAAAAAAAAATTAATAAAAAAAATATCTTTAGAAAGAGGTGAATGGTACAATTTCAGGAATTTTGAGGCTCAGTTGTTAGTTATTAAATTTAAATTATATAAAGTTTCTACCAAAATAAATTAAATTTAAAACAAAGGTAATATACTCAAAACTCCTCACTTTCTGATTATTTTACCTCATTTTGCTGTTATGTACGCTCCTGGGGTTATTTGTGCCTATAGCATTTGTGTGGTGGGAATACTATGTGGTGGTGGGCTACTGCACATCTCTTCCCAACTGCAAATTCAGTGATGTGACGTTGGCAGCTTGGCATTAACCCTGGGGCAGCAATTACACAAAGGCAATCAGCAAATACCAGAGATCAGAGCTTGATTTATTGTTTTGATTGTCTAAACTTAAGAGAGTAAGGGAGAATATGTTAACAATGCAGGTTAAACTTACAAGTGTGTCGTGTCTGTGGCTGTAACATTATAATAGCACAAAATATTGAGGAAATATTCCTCCAGCACTCAAAAACTTATCCAATTCAGCAAAAATACATCAGCTTTTTCACTGATGAATGGATGAAGATTGGGCAAGTGGCCGAGGAGAGGTAAAGCCAGGCAGAGGCAGCAAGGTTATAGAGGGGCTACAGTCTAGGCCCTTGGCTGGGGCAGAAGCCATCGACTGTTTTCACACCTACATCGCTGACCCTCAGCCCAAGCTGAAAATGACAAAAGCCTCTTCTTGCTGCTCCACCTATCTAATGCACTGCTGCAAAAGCAGAAAACGGTGCACACCTTAAAGGAGACATCCTTAGAAGAATTCTGTTGTTTATCACAGAGCATATACTAAAGGGTGCATTTAGAACTGAGTGGCAGTGAGCTGAGAACTGACATAGCTGGCCTTGGTGGAGCTTTGTGTTTAATCATCTAGGAGGAAGGAGTCCAGGGTAACTCTTGGCCTTTGTCCTGGGGAACTGATGGGTTGGGGAGATAGGATCTTCCTTCCATAAATGTTAATGTGAAGTGGTGATGGGGGTAGTTGTGCTTATTCCTCTTATTCATAGGCAAAACTTGTCTCTAGTGTCTGGGATCATGTAACTCTAGCTCTTCATCTTTGTGGAAAATACTTACAACAGTCCAGCCAGTGTGGCTCAGCGGTTGAGCATCGACCTATGATTCAGGAGATAGCGGTTCGATTCCCGGTCAGGGCACTTGCTCGGGTTGCGGGCTGGATCCCCAGCAGGGTGTGTTAAAGGGGCAGCAGATCAATGACTGTCTCATCATTAATGTTTTTATCTCTCTCTCTCCCTTCCTCTCTCCGAAATCAATAAAAATATTTGTTTTTTTAAAAAAGAAAATACCTACAGCATGTTTCATTGTCTACTTTCTGCTATCCCATCTAGGTTTCCATCCAAGGACTTTGGCATAATAAATACATGAAATTCAATCAACTATCTGCATCAAACATATAAACAGTAAAATAAAAGTGAAGTCAATGAGGCAGCCTGGTGTCATAGAAAGAATCTTGAATTTGGAATCAGGAGATGTGAATTTGAAACCTCACTCTGCTACTTACTAGCAGTGCAGCTGGGTGAATTTGAGTGGGTTTTGTCTATTTTTTATTAGTGAATTTGTTAAAATGTGTTCTTTAGTTCACTAGAAATTCACTGATCTTGAAAGAAGCACATCCAATTTTTGGCATGTATTATTGCAGATTTTCTTTATGCATTTTTGCCAAAGATTGTTACAGCATAATAGATAACATTTATTGAGCACTTAAATTGTACCAACTATTGTGATAAGTGCTTTCCATGCATTTGCCATTATATTAGTATAATACATATAATTGTGATGATCTCTTAATGGCACCTCTTTCAGGTTTTTCCTCGCATTGTTCCTGGTTATCATGTAGTTTTTGTGAAGTGACTCAATCATTCACCTATTATTGGACAATTACTTTCCTAATTGCTAATGGCTACTCACATTTAAGGGTTTATAATATTCTTTTAAACTTAAAGCAAATGCCTGGCTGGCATGGCTCAGTGGTTGAGCATTGACCTATGATCCAGGAGACCCAGGTTCGATTCCCAGTCAGGGCACATGCCCGAGTTGTGGGCTCAATTCCCAGTTGGGGGTGTGCAGGAGGCAGCCAATCAATGACTCTCTTACCATCAATGTTTCTATCTCTCTCCCCCTCTCCTTTCCCCTCTCTGAAATCATAAAGATATATTAAAAACAAATAAACTTGAAGCACAAAGTAAGGGACCTTTATAAGGGGGTAGAGTAAAACTGCATGATTAGAAAAAGAAATAAAAATACAAGGCATTCCCCATTTATTTTTGAAAAAAAAGAAGTCATATTTCTATTGTACTTTATAGTTTAAAAAGTGTTCATTTAAGTCCATCTTCACAGCAATCATCTGAGGTAAGAAACATTACCTACAGTTACACATGAAGAAATCAAGGCTCAGATTAACACAGCTCCTAAGTAGCAAAGGTGGGTCCAACGCATTATGCTGGCCTGACTTTTGCTAAAATAGTCCTTTAGTGATTGTGCACAGTTCCACATGTGCCTCATATTAAATTGTAGCTTGTGGTTCCTCTGACAGAAGCATGTTGTATAAACTCAGAATTCTGCTTCTTGGCTTCGGTGGGGTAAGAGGCAGTATTCAGAGCACCTCTGCTTAATTTAGGAAGATTCCCCAGAAGAAATCTCCCTCCTAGATGTTTAAATAAAAAGAAAGGCATACTGGGGCATTGCAGAACAGGTGGCTGGGAACTGTGTTTCAGGTACCAGGTGCCTCTTTGGAGTACACTGATCCCCAAAGCAGCACTGCATGTGATTGCTTTTATACCTCCTCTCACACGTGGTTCTCAGACAGACCCACAGGAAAAGGCAAGCAGGAACTATTGGCTTCATTTTATGGATGAAGAAACTCAGAAATGAAATGACCTGTCTAAGGGCAACCACTTATTAAGGGTCATAGGAGGGCTTGACTTCTGTTACCCCCCACCCAGCCTCGTTGTCTTCTCATAGCACTGTTCTTGCTGCCTTTTGTGATTGTTTCATCCCTCAACAGAATGATCACTGCAGTTTGAATTGGTTAAATGATCTTAGTGCTTGTGTCTGGTATCTTTGTTGATTGTCTATTGTTTTCAAGGAGAAGGGTCAGAGATTCATAGAACAGATTCAGACACTTTTCCTTTCCAGTTCATGCTCTGCCTTTTGCTGTTTATTTGACATTCTTCAGTCTTTTTCTAGAATTAACTAAAAAGTCAGATAGTTGTAGCGGATGGTGGGTGTCATTAATGGGTAAGGTCAATCACATTTTATCTTGTCACAGTCTAATTTTGCCATAAGGAAAGCTGAACTATTTTTGTGATGAAAAATATGGCTACTTATAATTAAAAAATAAAAAAACCCTGGAAATCAGGGATTTATCATCCTTTTAAACATGACTAATAAACATACTATGAAAATTAAGTTAACATTCTAAACTGTTTCTCCTACCCAATTCCATGACTTCTGTGTACTTTTATTTACATATTGTAGATACTTGTGATTCAAAGTGTGGACTTGGGATTAGCAACACTAGCAGCACCTAGGAACTTGCTAAAATGCTGACCCTCAGGACCCACCCAGACAGACTGAGCCTGAAGCTGCATTCTCACAGAATCCCCAGTTGAGGCATCTACTGTTTGAAACTCTTGACTGACACGAGCACTCACCCAGATCACTCTCATGCTATGTTCTGAGGACTTCAGTGGGCTCTCATTGCCTGCATACTCTTTTGCTTCATCCTCAAGACCCTGCATGTCATGGACTGACAATCAAATTGCCTGCTGTTCCCCAAAATTTTCTGACATAATTTCTTGACCTTATCATTGCGCTC